CGATGGGCATGAGGCCAAGGAGGAAGAAGAAGATGATCTGAATCCACATGTTGCCTTGGGGAACAGCGACGTAGTTCCAGTTGGCGTCGTTGAGGACGAGCTTGTAGGAAAGCGCAGGCATCGGGGGTGGCGAGGTCAAGTTGACAACGTTGTCGGATAAACTGCTTGGGGGCAGACGGTCAAGGACACCGTCGCCGTTGGGGTCGCCGTAGATGAAGGAGGCGTCAGGTTGGTTGTCCGGGTTGATGCCCCAGATGTTCAACTGGATCTGCGCAGGCCATTCGTACATAAAATGCAGCTCCCAGAGGTTGTTGTCAACCTGATTCATCAAGTTTGGCAGACCGGCATCGTAACCCCATTTGTTAAAGGGCCCGTGGAGGAAGATGTGAGGCCACTGACGGGAGTAGGGGATATCACTGCTGTCAGAGTGCTGGACAAAGGAAGACGAACCGAGGGGCTTGCTGTAGTACTGAACCATTAGATGCTCGCCCTTCCACTTCTGGAGGTCGGTTCCGTCCCACGACTGCGGAATCATGCGCTGCCTGGCACCGGTGTATGGCTGCCAGTTGCTCCAGCTGGAACCCCAGTTGGTGCTGTAGCGGAACTTGGTGGCACCGGGAGCGGCGTGGTTGATGTAGTACACGCCGCCGCTCTCTTGCATGAGCGATCGCGAGTAGTTGGCAGTAGCGGGGAACACGACGGGGTTGAAGGGCTTGCCAAAGCGGATGAGGAAATGATCAACGGCCTTGGTCGTCGTGCCGCCGGGCGCGGTGATGTTGTTGGCAGTTATCTTGACGATGCCGTCGGGCACGTTCTGAAGGTTGGCGGACCACTTCCAGACAGAGGCGATGGCGCCGATATAAGAGTCCTTTTCGATCGGATTCATAGAACCACAGACAGGGGTGTCGAAAGTGAGTGCGTTCTCGGTGTTGGCATCAACAGTGACACGAGCAGAGACAGCCTTGGTGACGGCGTCGCAGTCCATCTCGGTCGAGAACTTCAAGGCGATGGGAATCTGGCCGTTGGCATTGGTCGAGTCGATGGGAGCATCATGGCCAGGCTCGAAACCGGTGATGGAAGGCGCAATGTCCATCCATTTCGTGTCGGGAACATAGGCTCGGAACTCAAAGGGCGTCATGGTGATGCTGCTGATGCAGCCGGCCTTTTTGCCGTTACCGTTGAACCCGTTGTCCTTGGTGGAGCTTTCAAGGGTGATGGCGCCGGCGCCGCCGGTGTCAAACAGATTCCTGACCTTCGAGTTTTCGTCAAAGGGCGAGAGGAAGGCATCCGCCTCGTTGCTGCAGTCGAACTCGTAAGTGGTCTCATTGGGGCTGTTGTGGTAAACCAGCCAGACCGGGTCACCCGTCTCGTTCTGGTTGCTCAGGTAGCCACGCGCGACACTCCAAATTCCGGTCTCGGTCGGGACGCTGCTGCCAACGTATTGGATACCATGCGTCTTGTTCGACAGCTGCTGGAGGAGCCAGCCGCCCTCGAGGACGGGGTACTCGTCGCGGAAAGCGAAGAGGCGCTTCATCCAATTACGGATCGACGCTGAGGGATCACGGTGGTCATAGGCCACGCTTGGGTCAGTGCAGCCCGTTCTGCCTTTGGCGACGGGCCAGCCAACGTAGACGGAGTTGTCGCCTGCATAGCATCCGTGAATCTTCCAAGCTGGGGAGGGGGAGAAAGCTTGACGACCGAAGACGTAGTTCTCGGCCGTGTTGTCCAAGACGTAGAAGTTCTGCTCCTCGCCGTAGTAAACAAGAGGGGATCCGGGCAGAAGCAGGGTGGTGATGAAGTAGGCGAGGAGCATGCGCTCTGTTCCTAGTTCAATGGCAGGCCAGCGGAAAACGTCCTGGTTGGTAACACCATAGAGGTGACGAGGGTCGAATTTGCCAGTGTTCGCGTTGTAAAAGTCGTTGGTCAAGATCATCTGGTTCCAGGTCTGAACCCAGTCGGTCGGGAGATCATAACCGGCCTCAAGGTTACCACTCAATCCGAGGAAGCGGGTCATGAAACGGTAGACGGAGTAGTGGAAGGCACCGGCATCAAGCGCACTCTTCCCAGGCTCACGGATGAAGCTGCCAGAAGCAGAGCCACTTGTCGCGTCGAGGGACACGGCTTGCGCGAGCTGCAAAGATGAAGCCATCCCCGGGGTTCGGCCACGTCCGAGATAGATGGATCCCAGGGTGTTACCACTGGTGATTTCACCCACAATCATGAAGTTATCCTTGCCGAGGTCCTTGGCACACTGGCGCATGGCAGTACTCCACTCAGCCTGCGCGTCGACGGTGACCTGGACGGCCTTGTCGATACGGAAGCCGTCGACGTCGAGCGTTTGAATGGTCATGCACGAGTAGAGCTCGAGACGCTGGCGGACCGAAGGAACCCACTCACGAAGACGGTCCTGCACGGACGCGAACTTTGCCAATTGACGCTGCCAGTCGGGGAAAACACCAAAAGCTTCAATGTCACCGTATTGGTCGAAATCGCTGTTGTAGCAGCCCTTGAGCTGCGACGTGACATCTTTGGCGACGAGATTGCCGTCTTCGAACCAAAAAGCAGGGTACTGGCAGGTTTCGTTGTAATCGTTGCCAATGTCGAAGTCGAGGTACCGTCGAGACGACTTCCACTGGACCTTGTGCTCATCGGTCCTGAACGGCGTCGACGAGTTGAGGTACCCTTGGAATCCGATCAAATCACCCATGCTACAAGAAAACAGTGAGTGACAGCAAAGCCGCAACGGGCAATTTGTTACTTACGTCGCCATGGTCTGGTCCATGACCACATACATGTCCCTCTTGTGAATTTCGTCGATGGCCTCTTGCCATGCCGTGATATTACCGTAATGCCTGTCAAGAAGGGTGAGGTCGAGTGGCTAGGGCTTCTGTCAGCGCTCCTGTCCAGGTCCTGCCGCGCCGGTGACGGGCCGAGGAGTATTTTCGTACCGAGTAAGAATCCGCTCCCCACGGTTGGTTGATGAAGGGAGAACCGGCGATGTAGATGGCCTTGACTCCCATGCCCTGGATGTAATCCAAGGTGTCGACAAGCCCGGCCACATCTCCGCCATGGCGGAGCTGGTTGCTCAAGGGATCTTGTTCGAAAAGCGTGCCGTTGGCATTGTCGTTCTCGGGGTCGCCGTTAACGAAACGGTCGATGAATAATGTGTAGTAGGGAAACCGCCAATTTTCTGGCGATTTGGCGAATGTGTGGTTCTCTCTCTTTCCCGAGTACTCGTGTGGGTTGGTTGCTAACCTGTTCTGGTTGAGGTTGTATTCGGCTTCGCTCGCTGTGTACTTGAGGCCAGAAACGACTGTTGATGAGGCGGTAAGGAGTGTAATTGCCCAAGCCAATACGGAATTAGACATTGCGACTCTTACTCGCCTGGAGGGGCGAGTGAGCAAAACTTTACAGCAAAAAATACAAGAATAAACCAGGAATGAGTGACGAAGTGAAGCTCCAATGAGTGTGATGGTGATGGTGGGATGGGGGGGGAGGAGAGAAAGGCTGCGAAGCAGACCAACAAGCAAGCAAAAACGAATGACGGGATGAGACACGAGGCAAGGCGCGGGACGGATGGGAAGAAAACTCGGCCGTCGACACCACGTTGGTACCGATTGAAAAGGGGGTAATCTCGCCGGAGCTTGGGTCAGCCCAAATGCAATATGCCCCAGGCTGGAGGCGGAAAAGGGGATCACTGGTAGGGAGGCACAGACATGGACAGAGGCAAAAGTGCAGGCATGGGCATACTTAGCGGACTCCAGAGTGGCTGGGGCCGTAGAAGAGTCCAAGAAGGATCTATCCCGTCCGCCTCGCCTCCCAAGGCTCCAGTTTCGCGGTCTACGGAAAGGGGAGAAGAAGGGAGGGGAGGGGCTAGAGTGGGATGCATGCTGCAGGGCGTTGATTCCGTGATAGCAATGGGGGGGGGGTGTGACCCTTCTGCAGGAACGGGCCATCCGAATCGTTAGCTCTTCATCTTTCCCCAGTTTCCCTCAGGAGAGCGTAAGAGAACAAGAGAGAGAGAGAGAGAGATAGAGAGGTACCCGGAAACCCCTCTCTGTGGTACCATGACTATGTGACTCCGGGGTGGTCGGGGCTAATTCTGGCTATACGAAGTTTGGAATATGGATATGCATAGGGTGCAGGCAAATGCCTGGTTAGCAGCGAACCATAAGGGCGATGGGAGATTGGCGTACTCCGTCTTGGATTGCCCTTTTTGTCGAATCCACAGCAGAGACTGACCAATACGGTGGCCCGAGGCCAGCAGGCTCAGGGGTGCGTGTTGAAGACCAAGGATGGGCCAGCACGGTGCGGTGCTTCTCGTTGGTAGAGTCGGGTGAGTTCGTCGGTCGAGGCACCCGCTGTCAATCGGCCCTGGCCAGTGGGCGTGCTGTGTTGTATCGAGTCAGTTTTACCTTGTGTGGTCCTCCTTCTACCCCCTAGGAGAATACGAGACGTTGGAGACGAACTGGGCTGCCCAGGGCGAATGATCCATGCTTTCGAAGATTATCCAGAAGCAGCGATTTCCCGGTCGGGACGATTGAGGCTCAAGGGCAGGGCCCGTCGAGCACGGCGCGGCGGAGGCAAGCTGAGACGCACGACGAATAGCCATGGAGAAGGGGTTCATCTAAACTAGCATTGCCCAAAGGTTTAATGCTCGGCTGGCGATAGTTTCTGGGAGTCCTTCCACCATTGTTGGCAGCCAGTTCCTCCTCCCCTCCCCGTAAGGCAGAGAACAGGTTCGTTCTGGTGTGAGTGGGCTGGGCCAAGATCAGACAGATTGGGGGTATCTGTCGAATCATAGTGACATGGCCCGGCTGCAAAGGAGACCAACTGGATCATGGCGGCTGTAGGATGGAAGGATTTGCAAAAACAAGAATAAAAAAGCAAATCCCGGTTGGCGTTCAGACGGTGGTGACATTGGTGGCACAGCAAGCAAGCAAGCGGGCAAGCAACTAGTTGGTATGCATACGGTACTCTTTGCCGATGCATCATCATCCTTACTGAGCGCCAAAAGAAGAGTCGGCGAACAGGGGAGGGAATCCGGGTGAGTCGAGGGCTGCGAATGTGCCGTATCGTCCGCAGTAGCGAGAAAAAGGTTTTTTGGACTGTAAGAGTGTCGTTGCAAAATATACCGAGCCACCCAGAGGTGGGCGGGTCGGATAATGGGTCAGGTTCAGGTCACCTTGGCCAATCAGCTGCAACCGTTCCGACCTCACCAGCCACAGATTTGCGGCGCATCCAACCGTTTTTCCTTCGCCATTTTGCAGTCCTCCAATGACTGTCCACTGAGCGCCTTCCTGACGCCTTCCACCTTCCACACCAGCAAGAGGAACATGCCCCACTCGGTTCCATCTTACTGGAGCAAGTCCGGTATCAACCCCGCCCATGGTATCCACTTGGGCACGAGGAAGTTATCCTAGGTACAGTGGGACGGCGTCGGCTGGGATCTCTGGTCTAGCCTTCAGGGGGCCGGAGTTGCACCTGCACTTTTGCGGTGTGGTTCAGGGATCATCCCTGCTCTTTCCCCATCGACGTGTAGCGCAGCACTTGCCATGGTTAACAATCGGGTATTGCAGCAAGAGGGCAGTCAGTGTTCAACGGACGAGTCAGAGATGAGACGCGGGTGACGATGACGACTCGGCGCGCCGTTGAACATTGTGCGCGTTGGTCGGCGACGCTGGGCAGTCTGGGCGCACTGAAACCGGGCAGGCGAAGGGAAGGAGGCGCTGAGGAGAAATGCAAGAAACGGGGATTTCATTATGGAGGGGGTCTTATTCGCCTAAGGCCAGAACGCTAGCCGAGCAAGGCCAAGGCCCTGCAAGCTCCCCTTTTTTGATCTTATTCTTGGGGTGGCGTTGTCCTTTTTTTTTATCTTTTTTTTTATACGGATATATATAATCGGTATTTTATTATTTAGCGCTTCGCCTCTCCCTTGGTCTTCCTAGCAGCGTGTCTCATAATGACCAGACACGGTGGGTGTCTGGGTCTGCCCATGTTTCTCACGGCCATTTCTGGTTTTCAGGAGGAAGGAGAAAGCTCCATCCAGGAGGGCCATGAAGCAAAAGAGCCCGGTTTAGAAACCCGCCTGTTTGACAATGAGGGGATTCCCTGTCGGGCTTTATAGAGCTGGAGTATGCAGTAGGCGCTGCTCAGTACACGTAGTAGTAGGTATTTTCGGCTATGACCCAGCCGCTCCCCGTTCTATCGAGTTCGATCGACTGTGACGGCGGAAACTGCGCCGAGCGAAGTGTGTCCAAATCGGGAGGCTGCGACGGGGGGGCTTAGTCACCTCGGCGCCCACGGCTATATTGCTGCCGTCGGCAACGGTCAGTGACAGCACCCTAAAACAAAGCGTAGCGCTTGCCATTCATCCATCCATACCACCCTGGCGGGAAAGTGCGATGTACACTGGGTATTACAAAGTATTACCTACCTAGGTCGGAAGGGCAGGCACATACTAGGCACGCACACTAGGCGCACGGGAAAGGATGTGGCAGACCGTCCCTCCGATAGGCAAAACAGGGATACTTACCAGTGTACTATTAGACAGGTAGGTAGGTAGGTAGGAAGGTAGGTAATTGGCAATTACGTCAATCTCGCATTTCAATCAAGCATCAAGACAGCGAATGGGTGAGCGGCGGCCAGTCGGCCTGCGGCGCAGACAAGCAAGCAATCAAGCGACCCGCCAATGGCATCAAGCAACCCGCCAATGCAACCAAGCACCACGCCCAGAGAGACCATAAGAGACGCAAAGAACCCCTCCCAAGAGCTGCTGCTCACTTCTCGAGGTTACTTGATCGCCTGCCCCAGCCTGGCATTTGTGTACTCAAACAACCCTTGGCCCTTTTTGCAGCGTCAGCACCACCGTCGTGTCTGTACGTCAACCGTTGACGACGCGGGGCGCATGACAGTTCGCTAACACAATGGCAAGTAAAGTTATGACAATGCCGCTGATGCCACTGCCGTAGGTAGTGCCACCACACCACATCGGGATAAGCTCAGAGCCCGTTGGGGGGGGGGGGGGGGGTTCCAAGGTCCCTTCCAAGGCCGCACCGTTGGCCGTGCTGGCTGCCGTTCCTTGGCAGGAGAAGAAACAAGGCTTTTGCAAATTGGGACGCTCTCACAGCGACTATCTACGGATACCTTGCCAACTTACCGCTGGTAGGTACCTAAAGATACAAACCTACTGTGCCTAGGTACTGTACGGATAGTAGTGCCTACTATAAGGGGGGCCTGCCAATAATTAATTGCCTTAGCTACTACCTAAGGCACACCACGTCACACACACACGCGCGCCCAGCTCGTATACGTAGTAGGTAGTCACATAGCATACCTAGTGCATACCTATGTACTGTAGGTAGGTAGTAGGCACATGTTCGGACAGTACCTTGTAGTAGCTTCTCCCTAGTAGTAGCTTGCTTCTCGGACACATCTGTACAATCTTTCCTCATTGGCAACAAATACCGCCCACTTCGCTGTGCCCTTGGCGGCAGTCGTACGGATGCACCAAACACACAAACACAGACAGACATACAATCGTACATACTCCCACGCGACCGTCGTCTCCTCGCCTCTCTTGTCGACGGTTCGCAGTAGTACCTATTTTAGGCGCGCGCACAAGGGCACCTTTCTTCGAGCCGTCTTCCGCCTGACTATTCCCCTTTGGGCACCACCATGCCCCCACTCACACACACACACACACACACACACACACACAGGCTTGGCCTCCGTGGCGACCATCGTATCCCATAGTCACTAATATTCTCTGCTTGGGTTCAATTTCCTATCGACCACCTGTTCGTCATGCTTGTTCGCCGTGTCCGCCCCTCCCCGGTGGGCCTCATGGCCCTTCTGATCCGAGGCATTGACTTCTGCCCCCGAGTATGGCAACCCTCATCTCCTTCAAGGCCTTTCCAAGCCAGTGTGCTGTTGCTGTTCCAGTGCGCCCCCTCTTGTGTCTAGGCTTGACACTCCTCCTCCGCGCCTTGCTGTCTGTCTTTCTGTCTGTCTCGCGTATCTTGCATCGAATCCGCCGTAGTACCAGGCCCGGTTCTGTATCCGTACCATCGCACATAGGCATCTACAGTGGGTAGTTAGTTAGGTGGGTAATAATGAAAGAAAAGTAGTGGACTGGCTGCATGCACATAGAGTTCCATTGCCCACACGCTTTTCATTCTTTCCCACCCTCTCTCTCTCTCTGTGTGCCGATCTCCTCTCGTGCCAACGTCGACTTTACGCGGTTGGCCCCTCTTCTTTTGCCGTGAACCGGCTCCACGTTGCTTCCTACTCACTCTCTTAATCTAGGTGCCCCGTCTTCCCACCCCTTTTCCCGATCCAGTCCACCAGTCCAGTCCGGCGTCCAAGGACCAGTCACTCGCTCCAATTCACTGAAGGGATCCCCCATCCATCAACTCGTCGCTCCGTCCCTGACAAGTCCGACGGTCCATCTCACCTACACACCCAAAAGTTCTATATCGTGTTGTGTGCGCGCCCGCAACCTACCTGACCCTATTCATTCCTTTCACCACGCTCACACGCAAGCGCAAAGTCCAGTCGTTTAATCATCGCCCATCCGCGGCGCAGTCTCTCGTTTGATCCCACTCTCTCAGTAAAACCTAATCAGCCATGCGTACCTCAACATTTGCCTGGGCAGCCCTTTCCGCCCTCTCCGCCCTGGTCTCGGCCGCCGACCTCGAAGCATGGAAGTCGCGAGCCATCTACCAGGTCATGATTGACCGCTATGCCCACGATGACGGCTCTACAGACCACAACTGCACGCTGTACGACTTTTGCGGCGGCACCTGGAAGGGTCTGATGAACAAGCTCGACTACATCCAAGGTTAGTGACGGCGAATCACGGCATCCGCTCTCGCCCGAGCAACGCACCACGACTAACAAGGACGTGCAGATATGGGTTTCACCGCCGTCCAGATCAGCCCCATCGTCAAGAACATTGATGACAACACCGCCGTCGGTGAGGCTTACCACGGCTACTGGTCCCTCGACAACTATGCCCTCAGCGACAAGTTCGGCACCAAGGAGGACTTGGACGCCCTTGTCGCTGAGCTGCACAAGCGTGACATGTACCTCATGGTCGACGTCGTCGTCAACAACATGGTCCAGAAGCTTGATTCGCTCCCGCCCAAGCTCGACTACAGCAAGTTCAACCCCTTCAACGACGAGAAGTACTTCCACCCCTACTGCAACGTGACCGAGTGGGACAACAGCACCAACTACCAGGACTGCTGGCTGTACCCCTACGGCGTCGCCCTCGCCGACCTGGCCACCGAGACCGCGCCCGTCTACACCGAGTTCAGCAAGTGGATCAAGGAGCTCGTCTCCAACTACTCCATCGACGGTCTTCGCATTGACGCCGCCAAGCACGTCAACGACGCCTTCCTGCCCACCTTTGTCAACGCCTCCGGAGTCTTCGCCTTCGGTGAGGTCTTGACCGGTTACACGCCCGACTTCTGCCGCTACCAGACCCTGAACCTGCTGCCCGGTATGCCCAACTACCTTGAGTACTACCCCCTCAACAGCGTCTTCTTCGGCGGCGATATGAACTCGCTCGCCGACTTGCGCTCCCAGGCCCGTGACGGTTGCACCGACATCTTTGCCCTCGGATCATTCGTCGAGAACCACGACATGCCTCGTTTTGCCGTCCACAACGAGGACATGGCCCTTGCCAAGAATGCCATGGCTTACATCCTTTTGACTGACGGCATCCCCACCGGTAAGCCCCTCTCCTCCCCTCTCATCCTCTAATTGAGAGACATGCGAGGTTACTAACATGCGTGTCTCAAAAGTCTACCAGGGCCAGGAGCAGCACTTCAATGGAAATTCCACCCCCTTCAACCGCGAGCCCCTCTGGCAGTCCAAGTACGACACCGAGGCGCCCCTCTACACGCTGACGTCTACGCTCCTCAAGACGCGCAACCAGCTGCAGAAGATGAACAGCGCCTTCGCTACCACGGCGTCTGAGCAGCTCTTTGTCGAGGACACGCACCTGTGCCTGCGCAAGGGCCCCGACGGCGCTCAGGTCGTCTTCTGCATCACCAACAAGAGCTCCAAGGGCGACTCGTACACGCTCAGCATGGGCGGCTTCAACCCGGGTGACCAAGTCGTCGAGGTCCTCTCATGCGCCACCAGCACCGCCGACGGCAACGGCAACGTCACCTTGTTCATGGACAAGGGCGAGCCCAAGGCCGTCGTCCCCGTGTCGGTGCTCAATGGCACCTCGATCTGTGCCAACGGCACCAAGGAGGCCGGCAAGGACAACGCCGCTGCTGGCCTCGGCGGCAGCCTGACGCTGGTCCTGGCCTCGGTCATGGCCGCCTCGTTTGCTCTCCTCGCGTAAGCAAAAAGCAGGGAAAGTACGTTGCCTGATGAGTCGTGAGGCAAAAGAGGAGAAGTGAGAAGAAGGCAAGAAGCAAAAGAAGCCGGGCGGCCTCGAGATTATGGATTACGCTGCGAGCTGTGCACAACGCTTGATTATCTTTTTTACTATAATAAACTCAATGTTCGAGCGTTTTGTTTCTGTTCGCGGGATAGTCACGGACGGGTCGGGCTCCGGCGCATCATCACATCCATCCCTTTACCGCTCTTTGTTTTCTTGTCTTGTTTTTATGTATTTTCCTCGCGCGCGGGTCATCCCTTTTCTTTGCCCCTCGGGATCCCACCAAACAGCTCCCACGTGGGTCGGTCTGGTTCAGTAATTTATTATTCTCGTACTTGTTTGTTGTTCAACACCCCCCAATCATGTCATACGGCGAAACCATGATGAACCTTGGTACTTTTTTGGTAGGGGCGGATACGAGTCGAAAGAGCAGCAGTCACAGTTTTATAAGTATGCGTGTACGTAGCCAAAACAGGAGCGAGGGCGAGTTCGTTTGTTGGTTAGGGATATCAGACTCCTTCGCATCGAAAACCCAAGTCGTAAATATCAAGATTGAAAACATTCAATCCCAACCCCTCAATACACACATAGGTAACCACTAGTATGCATATTGAACTGCGGCTTACGATTTGGGAAGATGTCATCGGACTTGATGCCGCTCGAGGGGCCCTTTACGGAGGTGGCGGCGGCAACCGGCTCTTCGGTTGGATGTCTAGTCCAAACCGAGACATGAAAGACGCGCTAGGCGAGGTCGATTTCGGCTGCCAAGGATTACGGTGCGCTCAGAACGGAACCTTCACACACCTACCCGAGAATGCAGCCTTTGGCATAAGGTAAGGAGGTGCAAAGCCACATCCAACACATGCACGCCCAGTTTGCCATTGCATGATTTGCCCACATGGACAGTAGTGTGTAAGCATCTCGTCACCACTGTTGATTGCTGTTGCTGCTCGTATTTTTGTTTCTCCCTTGGTTGGTTTTTTTTTCTTGTTCTTTTTCTTCTTTTTCTTCTTTCTTTTTTTTCCCCCTGTCAAGGGAGAAGGGCGGCATCGTGGCGGAAAACGTCCGGCCGTTGTGTTGTTTACGCACCGCCACCACGCGAAGTAGAACAGCAAAAACAACAAAGCAAGTAACACACACCCAAGATAGAAGTGGTGGGGATTACCGTCATCTCTGAGCATAAGAAACGTGGGGTCCGACGGCGCCCCTTTTGTTTTTTTGCCCTGTCGCCGTGTCTAGGGTTTCTTTGAGGTCCCTGAGGGTACGGATACAGTAAATATATATATATATATATTTACCCTCTCTTTCCTACGCCCGGGAATAAGAGAAGAAAAGAAATGAGGGGGTTGAGAGAGGCGATAGGGATCTGTACTCTGTACCCGTACCAGAATGCCTGTATCCGTACTGTTTGTTGCCTGCGCAGTGCTGTGGGGGATGATGGGTCTAATCCATTCGGTTCGGACAAGTCGGCCCTGCCGGGTGAGGTGAGACTCGGTACGAACACGCCATCTCCACTACGTACCTTACACCGTTCCTTGCATTGAAATAAAAGAAAAACGGACCGACCCCCCGGCTGCTCGATATGCCAAAGGTTCCTTTTGCATCTCTGCAAGGGGGGAGGGGCCCACCCGCCGTATTTTTGTAGTGTACTGCCCTTGTCCGTCCGCCTCTCTCGACACGGTGCGGACGGCCGTTCCACACCTGAACAGCTGAAATAGGGGCGGGATATGATGATCCTGAGAGTACCAACTGTCGGCTCCTGCAGAACGCTGAGCGAGATTGTGCCAAGATGGCTGATTTGGCAGCAACACCACAGGCACACTGCACACGTGACACGCGCACAGCTCTTCTTCATCAAGAAACGGCCGTTGTAAATCGCCCTCCACCCCGTTCCCGTGCATTAGAGGGTCGTACCGCGTGTGCGTGTATGCGTTCCGCGCGCGCCGGCTGTAGGCTGCGCTCTCTGGTGGGCGATTGCCGACCGCAGACAGCAGGCAGGCAGGCAGGCAGGCAGGCAGGCAAATAGCGAGGCAATAAGACAAGGAGGCAAGGGACGCTACGTGACTACCTATACTGCGCAGTAGCGGACGCAGACTGAGGTATGTCTGAGACTCCATGCGCCTGCCGTACGTACCGTACTACTGTCTACTAAAAAGTATATCGCAATGTCTCTCTCTCTTTCTCTCTCCCCCCGTGCGTTAGATGGTTCGTCAGTTCCGACATTGAGAGCGGCACATGAATGTCTGGAACAGGCTTGGTGTAGTGGTGGTTGTGATTGTGCTCTCCCCCTCCCCCCCTGTCTTTTGGTATCAAATAGCCTGCTCCCCTTGCTTCCCATCCGCCCAAGCGATCCACGGACGGTGGGCGGCATGGCCCAGCAGGGACAGGAACGGGTAGACGCAAGGTCTACCTACCTCGAGTTTCCGCGGCGCCGCCCGTCCTTTGCGGTCCCTCCTGGGGCAAATCGCGAATCGAAAATGCTGAGGCGGGGGGGTGGACGCGTTGATCTTTTCGCCCTGTTGATATAACGAACTAGGGAGGCGTCTTCTTGATGGATGCCACTCAGGGTGGGAATACCCGGCGATCTGCTTCTTTGTTCGTTTTTTTCTTACCCGCTCGTGCCCCCCCCCCCCGTCCGTAAATGAGTCCGATGGGGGAAAGCATTTCGTACAAGACGGGGAAGGGCTTCTCTGCCGCCAATTTCCTGAGAGCGTGCACGTAGGGCGCCGGTCCCGTCCCGCCCCGCCCCGGGGTTTTGTTTTATTTTGGCCGTGACCCTACACTATTCATTCGTATTGTGATTTGTTCTCCAATGTTTCTTCCAAAAATTCCCTTGCGGCGGGGGGTCTCAACTGCCTTGTCGATATGGAGTCACCTTTTCTTCTCCATTCATCCAAACCCCCCCCCCTCCTTCCCCGAGCAGCACGCCGATCCGTCCTTTGGCCGGTAGCTATTTTCGTCCGAGGGGGCGGGTATCATAAGACAAACGGTCCCGGCGACCCTTGACGGGCCACGAGTGATCGGCGAGGGAACGGTCAAGCTTATCAAATTCCAAAAGCCCATGTGGTTGACCATTTTTTTGCCTCGCGCTTGCCTTCCACAATGGCCTCTGCTTGGAACGTGCTTCGCCGGTAGGGCATGGCGGGGAACGGGGGATTCGATTCGGTCCTGCTTTTGCCAAATGAGGCTGAACCGGCTCTGGCCCTCGCTCCCTTGAGTCCCTATCGCTCGTGTACCCTTAGCTTGGTCGCGCAACACGGGTTTCGTGCTTGGCAGAGATGGAGCAGGTTCGTACGAGTCCCGCAATATTCGAGTCAACTCGGTACTACATAACCCCAGGGACGTGACGGTATGGGTGACTCGTCTGGGTAGCTCGTAAGCTGGTTGTTGCCGATGCTGTCCATGGCCGAGACTTGTTTGCTTGATTACATTGTTAGTCTCAAGTTCGCATATCATCATTAAATCGTGACAGCATCATTGAATCTGCTATATATAACAAAAAAACGATCGCCAGGGGATCACAAAAGCAAAGTTGGACGATAAGGATAGTAGAGTAACTAACAATGACAAAGGAGGCAGACAAACAATAATTGATAGATGCCATTTTTCATGTAAAAAGGTAAAGTAAAATTGGAAAAGGAACAAAAAGCATGTTCCGAAACCGAGAATCGAACTCGGGGCTATGCCTAACCTCTCACCAGATGAGAGGGCATCATGTTGGCCACTACACCATATCGGACTGTTGTGACTAAGTCTTTTAAATTTCACACTAACAACCCTGTCACAATACTGCGTTGAGTCTATCTCGACACCTAACAACAATTTTCGATCCTATCCCACTTTCAAAAGACAGCCATTTGTTTCATCGTTCGAGTATAAACATAAGATGCCTCCGTAGAGTTGTTGATCCGAGTTAGATGTATTTATTGTCATGCAGACGTGAGGTGCGGCGCAACACGTGCTGTCGCGACTCAATGCCGGGTCGGGCATACACGACCATCGCCTCTTTACGGCCCGGGCGTCGCCATTTTTACGAAGGATGAAGAATGCAGCCAGCCCTATGGAAGCCACGCACCACGCTTGACGGCCAACATGGGGTTCCCATTGGACGATTTTCTCCTGTGCCATCAGCTTAGCAATGTTGGATGCCGGTTTCGAACCCGCTTGGATGTACTTGGTATTTCCTGAAAGAGGACATGAAGCCAAAGCAGCGAGGTCTGCGAACAATAACACATTATTATTATTATTATTATTACTATTCGTAACACAGCCGTCATGATCAAGTCCTCAAGCAGTCAGCAACTTCTCGCGCCCACTACACTTGCACTTGGTTACACACAGCCTTCACTCCCTCGCGGTCCTCGTCACACATGCTTGAGGAATGTGAATACGTTCCGTTCCCCGCATCGCAGACAGGGCGAACCTTAAAATGACGCTTCCGGCACCGAAAGTGGTGGGTATCTGCGGCGCCGCTATCGCCGGCCCGACCCTTGCACTACACCTCCTGTCCCACCCCGTTCTTCGTACCCTCTTTCGTCCGGTTCTCTTCGACCAGTCTCCGGCACCAGCCCCGATCACCGGCGATGAAGGCTCATCTCGATCCTCGCCATCAACCAACCACCAGCGCGCCGGCGCCTCGGTAGCCCTCCTCCCAAACGGCTTACATCCCCTCCTGGCCCTCGGCCTCGGCGACGCCATCCATAAATACGGCTACGAATGCGGCGACCTGAGCCTCTGGTCCGCGCCCTCGTGTTTGGACCGTGACGCGGACGCCCCGCTCACCCACCTCAAGACGATGGTCAACGGGTTCTGGTCTCACGACATGCAGCTGGGCGCCATGTACTTTGAGCGTGCGGGCTTGCAGTCCCTCTTTGTGGATCGCGTGCGTGAGCTAAGAGGCGGAGTGAGGTGGTCCAAGAGGGCCGTCCGTTTCGAGCATCTCGCCTCTTCCAGCAACAACACGGAAGAGAAAGACGGCCATGGAGACGGTCAAACCCGTATAGGCTTCGCCGATGGCACCCACCTTGATGTCGACCTTCTCGTTGGCGCAGACGGCGGGTACTCCGACGTCCGCCGCCACATCCTTAACCTCCGTAACCCGGATACTTCGGAGCGGCGCTGGCTGCCGGATCATATGGGCATGACAGGCATCTATGGCATATCCTCTGCCGACAAGATGTCTGCTTCGCACGCACCTGAGCGTCCGTTTTCCGAATCGCATTCCGTGTGGTTGCCGCAGGGTTTTCTTGCCACGGGACCATGTCCCGGAAGGATGGTTCGCTGGGACCTGATCCTCCCGGAACACACGCCGCCAGAACCCCGGCCCGACCCTGCAGAAGATTCCTGCGCAGCTTCGAAAGACATGGATGATCCCACCCCAGATGTAAAAGGGGCCGAGGAACAATGTCACGCCGCCATCGCATCCGGCCAATACCCCAGGTCCGTCACCGTCGCCATCCTCCGCGCCCACATGCTCCTCCGCCACCCGTTCGCCGGCAACTTCAAGACGATGCTGGACTCGGCGGACCGCATCGTCCACACGCCCCTGCGCCAGCGAGTCTGGAAAGAAGACGAGATCCGGTGGAGCGCCCCCGGCGGGTGCAGCGGCGGCGACGTCGTTCTCCTCGGCGACGCCGCGCGGCTGATGCTCCCCACCAGCGGTCAGGGAACGGGCTTCGCGATCGAGGACGCCACCGTTATCGCAAGCATGCTGCTAAAGCACTGCGGAGCCGGAACAACGGCCCCATACGCGGGGGGCGAGCTCCAGGCAGCCGTCGAGGAGTATGCCAGGCTCCGAGTACCCAGGTCGGAGAAGATGGCCACCGCGGCGTCGTGGGTCGGATCTGTCGGCCTGGGGTCGACGTGGTTCTATCGGCTTTTGCGAAAATATGCCGCCAAGATGTCGCCTGGGGCTGACTTGAAGTATGTCTTGATGATGCCCTCCGGTGTCTTGCCCATTTATGCTTGGACCCTTGCGTGAATTGATGTGGTATTCGATGCTGACTCTACGCATGTGATCAGGGCTAAGAAGGCCAAAGACCCGTGGCCCATGGATGCGCGTTTCGACGTAGACGGGGCAAACCCAAGGTAGAAGTGGTCCAACACGGCGCAAAAAGATCAACAGGGCACATTTAAAAAGAACCAGTAGCAAACTGCATGATTTTATATCAGCGATTCGAAAACCAACATCGGAAAAAAGATAAGTTGGACGCGGGAATATGGAAGGGCAAATGTAGTGTTGGCAACTAAATAATATTCAACTCTTCTTCTTCTCCTAGATACCCTCAAGTGTACCCTGATCGGAACCACTACCAATGTGCGCTTGACGTAGTTTCTCTGCACCAGCTCTGCTCTTGAGGTCGGAAACCCTACCAAAAGTCAGAATATCATCTCCACCTGAACTGTATTGAGTATATGTAGCAAACTCACCAATGATCTGCCCATCACGAAGTTGATTGCTAGCTCTAAGCCCACTCGTTGTGCGCCCAGGTTTACTGTACACATCGGCTCCTACCACGGTATACTCTTCGACTCCTCCAGCATGTGCTGCCTTTGGTTTGACCATGATCGCCATAGTCGAGATGGCCCCGCTTGAACGAAGCAATTCAACGACTTTCTCATGCCCGCGCAGTGATGACAAGTCGTGCCCTTTGCTGGAGAAGATGATAAGAAAACACTCTTTCGACCAAGAGGCAATGCCAATCGAGTTCGTTCGGCCGGTGCCGCCGGACATGGTCTTCGAGTACTGGGGCAATCGCCTGGCCAAACTTCACGACGTCATCAGACGTCCACCACCAACAAACCCGGTGGTTTCCTGGTTTGAGAGACACATCTCTGAACGCAACGCTCTGACTGTAGCCATTAGTGGGCTGTTTTTGGCGGCGCTATTTGGTTTCCTCTCATTCATTGTTGGTCTTCTCCAGCTCATTCTCGCCTGGGTGGCCTGGAAGCATCCAAATTAAAGGGCAAGCAGGGGCTAGGCCTTTATGAAAAGAAGAGCCCGAGAGAGTTCTTCATTACCGCCAGCACTTGTAAGCTACCTAGCGGTATAATCAACATGAAGAGGATGAATTGTCCAAGTTGATGTTACGTCAGATGAGATCCACTTCAACCTCCGGCCTGCCCTCGAACCAGGACTCATCTCTCAGAACGAACCACCCGACACGCTTCCATTTCGTCTCACTCTGAACAACCATTAACCCCTCTTTCTCAATCAGGGGAAGGCACCAGACTTCTTCGAACTGCTCTGCTTCCTCGGCCACATCAAATGCCCCAACCGCAACTACACCGTCATCCGAGCTGGCCGCATCCGGATTCCTTTCGGTGGAGGTGAGCAAGACAGCGTAGCTCCGCATCTTGCTGTAAGGGAGCCATCGCTTCCTCGACCTGTCGGCTGCGAACCACTCCGCAACGCCCGTCTTGACCAGGACAGCCTTTGCCGTGCGTGCCAGGATCTGGAGCTCGCAATGTGGCATATGGAGCGCCGCGACGCCACAGTCGTTCGTCGCCGCCCACCTTTTTTCTCCCAGCCTGGGCCTGATCTTGACGTAGTCGCTATCATGGAACATCTTTGATTCCTTCAATTTGTAGAAGCGGCGGACGGGCCCTTGGACGGATGCCCAAGACCACGACGGCGCGCGGACCACTGGCGCCGGCGCGAAGGGGGTCGGCTTCGGGCGTGTCAACGGCCCTTTAAAGAACCCGTTCACTTGGTGACGTGGTTTCCACGAGAGGCCTTGGACCAAGTCATCCTCCCATAACCCGGCGAGGTAGCGGGACCCCAGCACGTCTTGGGCAAGCCCCGCGATGGAGGCGATGGCCGCGAAGATGTCGTGGGGGTTCGATAGATCACGCATCATGTACGTGTCGACGAACTCGTACCACATATCGAGGGTGGTCTCTTTATCGGCCGCCGAACGTGCCGCGTCGGTAGAGAAGCCGGGGATGAGAAAAGTGGGTTTGAGATCTGCGAAATTGACTTGGCCGTCCTCCCAGCTCGTTTCGCTGCGGCATTGGTAGATGATTTGCTCCTTTCCTAATATGACGGCCCGCGTCGAGAGCTTTTCTTCCTGGAAACACCATCCCCGCGTAGACACCGGACCATAAGCGTGAGACCTTGGAAGGCAGACATTGACTGTGTCCTTTGTGTTTGGAGCGAGTGGCAGGGCACACGGTGGGACCTTTTGATCAAGTCTGTTGGTAAGGAAGCCGTCGCGGGCATCGTTCGAACGGCCGGCGATTATGGTCAAAACTGCGTTGCCGTAAACTTGGGCCATGCGTTGCGATTCGAAAGTCCAGTCATCGGCATCGCCTTGTATGATGCAGAGTGCGTCGATCCAGACGTACTCGATGCCCAAAGAGCGCGCAAAGTGGATGGACTCTTGGTGAGTTTTTGTTAGCTTTCCTTCCGCGACGCCGCCGAAGAGCTCATCTTTAGTCTTATGGGTCAAGTTGAAGGTATCTCTCCCGGGGCCCCAGCAGTAGGACAGGGCCAGGTAAGGCTCTTGGAGGCCATTCGTAACTATGAGTCGTGGCTTTTGGCTAGCTTGACCTACCGCAATGACGCGAGTTGGCATCTCGGACGACCTCGGCTTGCAGAGCTTGTGAGAAGCCTTGCATCTTCTCATGCGCCAACCTGCCAAGTGTATGTGGAGATCAGGATCGTGGTCTGCAGTCGAGAACCGTTCGATATACTTTGACGCTGCCGGCGTTGAGGTGCTTCTGCGAATAGTCAGCTTCTTTACAAGATGACGACATAGAGAAACTCATCCTGGGAAGAAGACTTACGCGAAAACAGACAGACGCGAGGCAAACGGCATGCCAGGGTGGTTTGTTTCTCCTTGGCCACCGTCCGGATGCAGCCTTCCGGATGAGATCCATATGGCACATCCTGGGAGTTGTTTGCCGACACCGCGGTTGGCCTGCCTCACTTCGCCGTGAAGCCAGACGCTCGGGAAGAAGGTTTCCTTTTCGTAGCCCTCAGGTACCTCATCATTGAGAAGAGCGCCGGTGATGCTGCGGCTGGTATCTTCCATGACGCGGGTATAGCAAAGGCTGCAGAAGGGGCATCTTGCTAGAGCGCTCTGCTGAAGAGCCTTTAGATTGGAGTGAAAGCGAACGTCTGTCCCGTCTAGTTGCTCGATGTGGAGCTTTGAGCAGACTTGGCAAAGCGACATGGTTACAGCATGTGTTGGTCAAATATCTTAGCTGACACGCCGCTGGAGGTGAAATGCCGCGAGGACAACATCAGCAAAGATGGCGTTGCGAGACAACGATGTTCATTTCTGGGCGGCCACGAACGGCCGACACCACATCAGACAGCGGGACTGGCGACGCATGGAAACGATTCTATTGGTCCTTGCACATCAGGATGACCTAGACTGGAATATGCAGGTGATAAGCCAAGTGCTGACGGCAGAATTGCAAAAGGAAGCTGGTAGTCTAGGAGTGATGACTGCGATGGCCACCATGTAAATTTGAGGCTTCAAAGGGGATGGGCCTTCATTTGTGGAGGAACCGGTCATCTGCCTTTTGAGGTTATAGCCAGATCGCCCATCGGACATGTGACTGCCAACCAATGAGGCCGGCCGGTGGGCCGTAATCGGTCGACCTTGTGGTTCGCAAACTATCCTGCCTAAGCTCCATCTCCATCGTCCACGGGTCTGGAACACACAAGGTTCTCTTTTACTCTGTGCTAGCAAGTTCCACCGCTCACATGCTCCCAACGGCTGGATCAGAGTTTCTACTGACGTACAACATCCGGGTCTATCGCAATGGGTAGAAGCGATACTGGCTACCCGACTGGAATCAAGTCAACGCCCACGGCCAGGGCTTTTTGCAATTAACCTTTGTGAATAGGTGTTAAAAGACGAGTTTTGCACCAATGCACCAACACCATGTCTATTCCTATAAGAAGCTGCATCACCTACGGGAGCCCTCCCACCACTTTCATTATCCTTCTGACCACCCCCCATCGCATTGCTATCCAATTCCAATGCGCGGCACATGGCCTGTTGCTTGAATACGTAGGTGAAGAAGATGGATACAGGATAACAACCCAACAGCACCAGGACCAATCGTCACAATAGCTACTCCTCCAGAAGCCATTGTCACAAGTGATCTTTTCTTCATCCCACTGGACCAGCCAGCAAAGACAATGAGAAGAGGAGAGGTCCGACCCGGTGGCAGTGTAATACCAGGTCAAACAGAAACCAAAATCATGCCGCCTTCGAAGCCTGACAGAATTAGTGAAGGGGGACCGCCAGGTTCGTCGTGCCCAAGCTCTCTTGACCAGCTAGCGGCACGCGGCCAGAGCGATAACCCTCTAAGGTTACTCGCCGCATGTCCACGAAGAGGAAAAGAAGAAGAGGAGGAGATGTCTAGGGGATATGCAGACATTTGTACCCTTCCTGAGTGGCCCTCAATCAGCCAGGACATGGAGAAGAAGGAGTAAGAAACAAAAGGAGTGATCTTTCCCGACGAATCAAACAAGGCAGCAATGACGTCCTTCTAGGAAGACGCACCTAACTCCAGGAGGAGGCAACAGGGCCAAAGGCATGGCGGAGTAAGAATAGCACGCAGCGTCAGTGTTCCCTGACGGCAGGAAGGGTGACGGAAGAAGGAGCAGTAATGAGTAGGCTAGCTTACAGAAGGTGGTTAAGTACCTTCCCTTTCGTATTCCCGGTCAGTCAGAACGCGGAGAACGGGGCTGTTGGTTAATCACAATGAAGGGATAACCCAAATATCACGTAATGATTGTGATTTAGGATGTGGCAGGACCAAAGGCAAGGCGGAGCAAGAGTGGTGCGCATTATTAGCCCTATGACGGCAATGTGGACAACAGAAGGAGAAGTAATCAGTAGGCTAGCTCGCAGGTAATTACCTACCTATTCGTAATAGTGTAGGAGGGGACAAAAAGCATTCTAGCAGTCAGGGGTGACAGCAGCATGTTTCTCCTCGACATTTCATCAGCACGGTCCTTTGCAAACAAAGGTTGCTGGTATTCAGCCAGTGCACTTTTAGTCGGCGGCCAGTGAGTTAAGCCTATTTAGGAAGGCACTGCCAACACCACCACATTTCCCTAACATAGATAAAACAATCATATTCCATCACCCTAACTCTAGCTAACCCAGACCCTAACCGAGACCCTAACCACCCTAACTACTAACCCTATGTATCTTTAAGAGCCTACGCATCTATAGAAGATACGTAGGGTTAGTAGATAGGGTGGTTAGGGTCTGGGTTAGGATTTAGGTTAGTTAGAGTTAGGGTGACGGAATATGGTATTTCTAGCTCCTGTGTGGTAATACTTCTAGATCGGGTTAGACACTGGCTGCCGACCAAAAGTGCACTGGCTGAATACCGGCAACCGCAAACAAAAGGACACTAAAAACATACAACACCAGGTATTCGCTGGTCGTCACCGACCCAACTACTAATCCGGCCCTCGTGAAGTCTTAGCTGGGAGAGCCTTGACTTCCTGTTTTCGACGACTTACATGTCCATCACTGGAAGGCAAAGCTCCCTTCGCAGCCCAACCTTACGGCATAAAGTAGGTAGGTCCTTGCCGAAAACGGTATTCCTCTGGCTCCACCGTTTCAAACCTCGTCGCCACAACACATGGTGCTGAGATACGTGCACCCCTTGCCGTCCACCTCTCATCCTGATTTCAAGAAAAGAAAGAATATATAGAAGAGACAAGGCGCAATCAATACTCAGTAATTACAGGTTCACATTTCATTAAATAAAAAACTAAGCAGGATGTCGCTTTTTAATTGCTCGTATTGTCTGTTATTTAAAGCTACCTACCGTCGCAACCCCCACAAGCCTTGCAGCACTGATATTTGTTATTTAACGTACTGATGTACACTATTTACTGCCTTTGATCTGTCAAATGTGGCGGAATTACACGTAAATTAGCCGGCGAATGCAGGTGTCAAATGTGGCGGAATTACATGTAAATTAACCGGCGAATACACAGTTGCCCTACGGCAAATTGTTAGGGAATGGGCGGTGAATTGGCCCCACCTTAAGGGGTTAATTTACCGCTTATATAGCCAGGATTAGTCCAGGATTTCCCTACCTAGAAATAAGGGAATTTCTATAGTTCTATAGGTTCTTTACTAGATCTATATATTATATAATTAATTAACTATTATAATCCTTACTATTTAATAGCACGGTTACCTTATAGGAAATTATTAGGGAATAGATAGTAAATTAGCCCTACTTTTAGAGATAACTTTACTAATAATATTACTAAGATTAGCTAGAGATTTCTTAACTAAGAAATAGGGGTCTTTCCTTATTTCTATAGGATTTTACTATAACGTATATATATAGTAAGCTGCGTATTATAGTAAGCTATATACGTCCTCCCCCTTTATACCTCTTTAACCTTTATACTAACTTTTCTTTATATATAAATATAGCCTCTTCTTCTAGAGAAAGTTATATTATCCTTACTATCTAGACTCTTAAAAATAACCTAAAAATGTCTATATAAAGTGCTGCCTCTAACTTTAAGGTCCTTAAATTAACCCTTTATATATAATATATTAGTATACTCTTATAAGCTAAGATATATTTAAAATTAATAAAGATAACTATTTTAAAAAAAGAGGTAATTCTTAAATAGGTTATTAACCTAATTAATTAAAGGTTTTTTTTATAATAAGATAATATATTATGCTGCCTTTATAGACATTATACTTATGTGTAGAGCCGGCTGTATTACAGCTAGGGTTTCTCTAGAACGGAGGAATAGTTCTTCTAAGCCGAACTTTGTCTCTACACAAGCGGCCCACTTAAAGAAAACCTATTTCTTTAAGCCAGGCTAACTATCACTAGACGTTAGATAGTTAAGCCGTTTTCCTATAATCTTTCCTACCTAAAAAGTGACTCTACAACAGTTATAAGCCTAGTTTGCTCTGCATTATGCTATAATAGTTAAGTGTAAAGTTAGCGTCTAAGCGTTATAGACCTTATAGGTTTAAATCCTATAAATATTAGGGACAGGTTCTAATATACCTTACTAGATAAGTTAAATTACAGCCACCTAGACTTTAGTAAGATATACCTAATTAGAAGGTTTTTAAGAGTTAGTAGATCTACTCTAAATAGTATAAACTTAGGGGGGGTAATAAGCTTCCTTATTAACCTAGTAATTATATAGTTAGTTAAGTTAGATTATATAAGTAGGACTTCTATAATCTAAGGGGGTATATTATAGTATAATATAAGGCGTTAATTACTACCTATAATTAATAGTGTTGTTTTTATAATAGTTATAAGCCTAGCTTATACTACACCCTTAAACTAGTATATCTAGAGCGCCTATAGGCTAGATATCTCTCTCTTAAATAAACTATCTTATCTAAAAAAGAACTTTTAAACTAATAATATTAATTAATAGTATAAAGAAGCTAAGGTTATAAGCTAACTAGCCTGCTTAGTATATAACCCTTTAGCTTAAAGCTAAATTAAGGTATATCTAAAAATATATTAACTTAGATAGTCTAATTATAGATAAAGATAGTAATTTATACCTAGATAAAATCCTTAACACTATATAAGCTAATACTATTAGTAAGTTTATTAATATTAAGAATATAATATAGCCTTAATATAAGTAACTACTAGTATTAACTAATTTTAGTATAAAACTTACTTATTAATTATACTTTCTAAATAAAGTAGTACTAAAGATAATTTATAAGTAATATAAGAAGGGTTTTAATATAGTTAAGGACTAGGTTTTCTCCTTAGTAGTAGATATAATCCTTATACCTACTTAAATAAAAGCTCTTAAGTAAAAAAGTATATTACTTTATTTTATACTATAAACTCTTAAGTAATATAATATATTAAGTAACTTAGTAAACTAGACGCTTATTTAAAAAAAATACCTTACTATTATAAAATAGGTAAGATTAAGTACTAATCTTAATACCTAGCTAGTAGATTAGTAAAACGTATATATATATATATAGAAATTCTTAATATACCTAAAGTTAAAAAGTTACTTACTTTAAGACTATTTCTTAAGGTAGTCTTATATTAAATTACCTCTTTTTAGGTAGCCTATAAGCTCTTAGATATTATATAATATAAGATATAAGGTAATCTTATTAAGAGCCCTAACTACTATACTACTATTTTAGTAGGTGTTATTAAA